ATGCGTATGTGTAACTGAACATTATATGAATGCGTATGTGTAACTGAACATTATATGACTGCGTATGTGTAACTGAACATTATATGACTGCGTATGTGTAACTGAACATTATATGACTGCGTATGTGTAACTGGAACATTATATGACTGCGTATGTGTACTGAACATTATATGACTGATGACGACATATAGCTGTATATGAACTATTGACTGGCATGAACTGAACATTATATGACTGCGTATGTGTAACTGAACATTATATGACTGCGTATGTGTAACTGAACATTATATGACTGCGTATGTGTAACTGAACATTATATGACTGCGTATGTGTAACTGAACATTATATGCAGGGGTGCACACAACTTTCTCAGTGGGGTACTCAGATGATTACCTGGAGTCAGTCTTTGGTACTCCAACTTCTGGCTCCCCTCAAAGTTCCCATGAAGCCCTCTGTATTGCGAATGTCAACGGGTGGGGGGTGGTAGTGGAGCGCAGAGCTTCGTGACCACAGAGCGTGTGAACGTTGTGATCAGCTGTTTTAGCGCGGTGCTGCTGTACAGACCGACGTTAACAGTAGCCCTGTCTGTGCACACGGAAACTGACTCTGTCGTCCGGTGATCTAACGCCTTCTGGAAAAGCTTCACAAGTACGTCGGTACACAAATGCGCTTTGTGACACAAGTGACGGTACGCATTTCAGATTGTTGCCGCGCATGCGTACCTGTGTACCAATTATGTGCACCCCTGATTATATGTCAAGTTTGCACACCACTACAATGTGGAAAGTTGTAGCTGCTAGAAAAGGAATTAGTAACAACATTGACACAAAACCTGAAAGAGCAAGGCCAATTGGGAACAATGCGCCTCTTGGCTTGACACATTCACACTGTCATTTTCACATTGCGTGTACGATTTGACTGTACGTGTGTGCATCTGCCATTTTGTAACGAGATAAAAAGTGACAGTGGCATTGGTGAGCTAATTGAACAGCCTGTTGTAGGTGAATACGGATGTAATTAGAGCCTCTCACCGAGGACCTGGAGCTAGTGCAGGAGATATCCTTCATATCCTTACAGCAGACAACTTGTCTTTGTTTAAATTACCACAAGTGCTCCCCCACAAAAGCACAAGTTGTCTAGAGCCCGTTCAGCTCAAACCATTTTACTTTGCCTCCCTCCCTCATGGTCTATAAAGAGTAACACGTTCTTTGTTCAACCGAGCACTTTAGCTGCTCCTGTTAGATTGACTTTCTCTAAAGCAGAATGAGAAATTGCCTGGTGGTTTGATATTAACTGTGTGTCCCTCTTTCATGTATAAGAGAAGCTGTCAATGCCCTTTATGGCGCATGCGGCACTATAGGCCAAGAGTCTGACTCTGAATAGTTGTCCTGGTAAAGCAAACTGCAGGAATGCTTGGCACTAGGAACTCAGAAATGTCTTTTTAAAAGGAAATTCTCATTCAGCAAGGATTTGACATGCGGAGCCTTTCAGCAGAATCCGCTAGCTCTCTAATGTGCACAGGGAAATAGTCAATGTACAATGTTCTGTTATATTCCGCTGTAAAAGCTTAAGTAAAGGCAGCTGCTGACCTATGTTACATCTTTTTCCCCCACCTTGAAGACCCAGGGCATTTTCTGTCAGACTTCCTGCTGAGTGCAATATATTTTATGTGGGTTTTTCTTTATTATTCAATCTACTGCTGTCAGAATTGGCCCAGTGTGCTGTTTAATAGCTTTTTGAGGCTCACTAAACTGAGTTTGACTTGTGTTTCCTGTCAGTCTTACTGGGTCAACATGTCATTTTTGACCTGCTCATGGCCTGAATTAAACATACGGTCGTACTCGACTCAGATTTCCAATAAATGGGTAAGCTCTTCTTTACTGTAATTACATGTTTGCCATGAATTATATAGAATCTATACAGTATTAATCTTACTTGACTGGAGTAGAAAGAGGTGACAACTTCCACAGCAATTGTGAAATATGACAACCAGGCATTAACCTTTCATAACCGCCTTAAGGGTCAAAAGCAGATTAAACCTTATGTTCTTGTAAGCTGCTGCAAACACAGGATTTTATGAAATAGTTGTGCTAGACACTACTGCTGACTGTCAGTGAGAACATGTACAAACGCTGTACAAAGCAGGGATCAGTAATTGCATGTAAATCTCCAACACATATCATTTTTCAGAGCGTTTCTCCTTTTAAACCAAAAGTTTCACTTGTGTAAGACACTAAGTCTCTCTAACGGCAAACTGAAGTGCTATCCAACTATACTTTTATGTGATTACGGTTCCTGCGGAGGTTAATAGTCTATTTTATCTCCACAATATGAGTGAAATAGAGATGCCATTTTTGCGACAGTAGGTCGAGGGCCACTACAACGCTCCACTCAGCACAGACAGACAGGCAGATGGTCTCAAAGGCCAATGCTGCCAAACACAGCAGAGAGAGAGATGCAGGAGTTTATGTGAAATACATGGATAGCCAGCAGGTTGATCAGTACTTACTCAACCTGCTGCTTAGTGTTGTTTTCCTCAATGCACTCGAGTCTGCAGTAATCTTGCTCTGCTCAGAAAACACTGAACTTCCCTCTACTTTGCTGCATCTTACCTTCCCTTTTTGAATTGGTGTCTTGCTCCACCTTTCTGTTTGTCTCTTTCTGAATGCAGAGCTTTCTGTTGGCTATTTATTTGTTTTTTCTTTCCTCTCAGCCCCCTCCTACTCCCCTGCTTCAGTGGTTGTTGAGTCAAGCCTCAGTTCGGCCACAGACTGCTCCCCCTGGGCCTATTGGGAAAATGAAAGTTGGGACTGTTTAATATGGAGGAGGGTCACTGGTTCAAAAAGAGGCTAAACAAATATGCGGTTATATATTTGGATTAGGCGTAAATAGTTTAGAATAAATATTTAGGAATTGAAATGCCTGATGGAAACATGGAGTTGATTTTACAGTGAAACACTTGATATTCAGTTTTCAGTGGGCTTTCAATGTGGGTTGCAAGATGTCAACACATCTTCTATAGACGAAAAGATGAATTTACATAATGATTTCACTGAGGGACAACACTGAGTGAAGATTTCAAGCCTGTAGGAAGGAAAGGAAAACACAACATTTAGAGGTTGTGAACTTTCAATAAACGTATGGTAATATTCCTATGGATAAGCATCAGTTTGAAAAGTTGAATCTCCTTGATATTATATCTCTGTATTGTTATTTTATAGATGAGTGTCACCCCGGTTAATTAACAGCTGATGAAAGAGAAGGAAAACATTTGTTAAGGCGTTGTAAGAACTCTGTAGTGTGGCTGCACAGCTGTATGATCTGTATGACTTTGTGATTGTATTCTTTAAAAGTAGTAATTTATGCCACAAGATTAAATAATTCTTGAGCTGTCCATGAATCATAATTGTTAAGAAAGGTTGTAAATTGCCTTTTTCTGGGCTGTTGACTCAACTTTTAGGATCTTTTATTCATAACCGGAGTTGGCAAAGTGTGACAGATGTGGAGTCAACCTCAGGCCAGTAGGTTAACAAGGAGCTCCTGAGAATGCAACCTTTCTCTCTCAGTGATCTAAATGAGCCGCGGGGAGGGAATATGCTTCATGGAAATGTAATGGCTTTTTACATAATTCACAAGTCTGGTTAAGAAAAAGAAATGTTGAGGCCTGAGGTCTCCTGCATGGGATGCTGACAGTGGCACAGCCCCAAAGGTCCTTAATGCTATTTATATAAAGGAATTAGTCACATTTGGCTGATTTTCTTTCTCACATCTTTGTTTTTTTGTCTGTCCGCAGTGAGGGTCGTGTGGAGCTGCTGGGAGGAGGCAGTATTCAGATCTTCAATCTCACAGAGGAGGATGCCGGCATTTACACCTGCATGGCGGACAATGCCAACGCAACCATTGAAGCCCAGGCCCAACTCACCATACAAGGTACCGTCAGCATTGTCTGCCTTCTGGCACAAAATTGTAACAGAAGAACAGAAAAAAACAAATGATCTATTTATCTGAAAAAGCTCAGCCAATCTTCCCGTGGCTCTATTTTTTTAAGAAAATGTGAAACAAGGAGACCGTACTGACTCTTATTAAGATAGAGATTGGACTTTATACGAGTGCCAAGAGAGGATGTATTAACTAATAAGAAGAGTGCCGTGCTTGAGAGCTGAAAACAGACTCATTCCCTCTGATTCAGTTTGGAAATCAGCTTATTAGACGACTAAAGGACACTTCCCAGACCTGAAACAAAACCACTTAGTTTGAAATGAAATGGACAAGGTTTGTTTCTTGCTCGCAAACTATGTACGGTAAATCTGCACAAGCAGGTGACTGTTTGGATATGCTGCACACTAAAAATATCAAGGCGTTGACAGTGAGTGAAATATTCAGCATAAGTTTGCATATGTAGCACGTGTGGTGTGTTATCTTTTACCTGTTAAAATCTGCCGTTGCCCAGAACTCCACTACACAAAGCAACAACAAAAAGATTTGAGCTGCACATATTGCTGGCAGGAGAAAGACAAGTATAACATTTTAGAAGAGACAACAAAGAACGTGAGAAGCTTGAGATACCAGACAACATGGTGAACAGAAATAATTCACCTCTGCAAAAGAGGTTATATTGTGTTTTAGTAAATGTGTGTCTGATGCTTAGTATTAAATATAAAGTAAATAGTACACATAAGTAGCATTACAATTTGAGCTGGGTTTTCTCCCTGTTACATTACTACACATCTGTTGTTGATCTGATGTAAGTTTTTTCCTCTTTGTAATTGGAAAACATGAATAACTTGCCATTTATGGTCTTCAGGTCAAAAATATCTCAGTTCTGCATTTCAATTTCGGCCAATCCTTTGAAGGTACAAGAATGCTGATGCTGTAGTATGTATCACTCAAAATTCAGTGTAGATGAGAAAATAAAAAGAGACATATTCGTTTTGAGACATATTTTTTTATGAGCATTAATTCTCACACTTACACAAGCAGCAGCTGCCATTTCCCAAGTGAATGCTGACTAATCTTTCTCTTTAAAGTCCAACTTCGATAGCAAAGACTTAATTTTTCCATGACTGGTTTACAATTCCCATATACTGTAAGCTCAGTATATGTCATGGTGTGAAATACAAAATGAATAGATAATGCATGTAAAATCTCAAGAAAAGCAACTAGAATCAATGTTTTGTCCAGTGATACCTACTATATCCTGCTCTGTAAATGTCAATGCAAGTGACCAGCACTGGAAATAATCATAATGTAAATCTAAAGAACTAATTTTCACTCAGCAATCTCCTCTGAACATTTTTGTTCTCCCCTTCCCAAGTGTTGAAATCCATCCATGCCTCATATGGTAACAATGAGTGAACAATGTAAAAATTCAGCTTTGACAACACAATGAATCGAGCACGCCATATTCTCAATCTGTATGAGAGTGACAGAAAGGAGAACCTTCTGTGGAAAAATCCGTGGATGAACGTAAAACCACTCTCTCACATAGGAGACACACCCACAGTAATTGCGTTGTAATTACTGTTGTCAGACTTTGCGTTGTTGAGAGAAATAGACATGAACACAAACATGTCATGTGTGCTTTTCCCAGGTGAGGCAAGACAACAGGATTTGCTGTGAAATAACTTGAGACTGGGGGAAACACCCTGAGGCTCATTCCTGGGTTCATTGCATTTCACACGCAGCCACATCGTGCTATGACTCAATCTCTTTTCCCCCCAAAATCCCTTCATCCCCCCATCACCCCTCCACTACCCTTTCATCATTTCCCGTTGCTCACTGTGATTACAGGAGACAGTAATGGAAAATGGGATTAGGTCACAGGAGGACATCGGACTTCACTCGTTTTCAGATTTCAAGTCTGTCCATCGAATTCTCGCTGAAATCCCTCATGTCTCTGACCCGACCCTGCCAGCCTCCAATGTGACAAGACTGTAGAGGATTGATCAGCACTCTTTGAATATTGTTGAAAGACATCAGTCATTGTAATGCAATAAACCGGTTTGATTAAATCCTATGCTGTAGACTCTAAGGCCTAATTGCATTTGTTCCATCCAGATTCATGAAGAAACCAGATTGTGGCATTGATTTGCTCCCTTGACAACAGAAATGACACTTGAAAGGTCAATTGATTCCTTGAGGAAACAGTTCCGCTCATAAAATGCCCTCACACAAATCATCGTGGTATGAATCTATAGTAACATCAACACTATTTTCCCCATGATTGACGGCTATAAAAACACTGTAGGGGCCTCTTCTGCAGCAGGAACAAGGAGCAATTGTGTGTTTGGCCACTGGCTTTTCATAGACACTGGACAGTTTGTGCTTGGGGAAAGATGCAGAGGTGGCCGGGGATTTGATATGGTAAAACATTGTTAAGCTTTGCCTGGAGATAGCTTGGGGGTTTGTGATGCAGCTGGTGCTCATCTGTGGAGAGAGCTCTGCACAGGGCTGCAGCAGGTGTGTGTGTGCACACACACTATCGCACAACCAGCATACATAATGAAGCCACACAAGGTCAATCACTCTATACACCTGTATGCCTTCACTACACGCGCATGGTTTCCAGATTCAACCATTCTTCAACCAATGGACCTGCCTTAGTGGCTTTTCAGTTAAAGGTGGGGTATGTAATTTATTTCAGAAACACTTTGTTATATTCCATGAAATGCTCTTATTAAATGCTTTAACAATAAATCCATTAAAACATTTAATCTGTTGAAGCCGTAGTACTGTAAAAAGCACGACCAATCATCTGAGCCGGCCCGGCTAAAATAACTGGATGGCCTACCTGCCTGTCAGCCTTCCATCTGTGCACAAACTTATCTCGTGCCCTCATTGGTCATGTGCGCGTTCGTGTGTGTTGGATGAGGGGCTCTGTAAGGAAGTGGCAGTATTTTTCCGGCTGTGTTATTTTACCGGGTTTGTACTTTCAAATGTGTTAGTGCACTTCGAGCTGGTTTCTCCAAAATTACATAGGCTACCCCACCTTTAAGTGTCCTTGGTTGCTATTTCCCCTCGAGAATCTTTTTTTTTTTAATCAATAAGCTTTGGAATCTTATACAATGTGTACTATCTGTGAGAAAGAGACAATACATTCCATGGTGTTAAAGTTACAGGGAGACAAAGCCCAACCAAAGACACACAGTAGTACATTTCTGGGAAAAAATATATAATAATAAAACGTAGTCAAATCTCTCAAAATATATCATTAGTATTTTTTTATGAAAGTCTCTACCTGCAGTGTACAAGGTGGAAGCCGTTTAAAAAAAAATGACCAAAGCATTAACGCTTCAGGAGAATCAGTTTGATTGTCCCTCAGTAGTGAACCCTACTTATCAGAATCTTATACACCTAATTAATGCAGTTTCTTTACTTCACATGAGCAGAGCTTGCCGGCAGAAAATTGTAGATTTATTGAATAGCTGTCGGTCTTTATGCTACAAAAATAATAAATGTTCAGCTGCAAATCTTTTATTAAAAAACCAACTGAACAAACATGAATATGTTGCAATGTGAAAGGATGTATAAACAGCTCCAGGAGAGATAGTCAGCGTTTGTCAAACATAAGCAAGAGATATACCAGAGCAGCGTGTTCCATATCAGTTTTATTAAATGTGATCACAGTGCCAGTGAGATAAAGAGGATTAGAGGCTGTATTTGTGTAAACACAAGCACAATCTGGCTTTACCATTGAAGCTAAACTTTTTCTCAGACTGCAGGAAAATTCCAGGCAGGTAGATTTGAAGACTGTCAGACTTTAATCTAAAGTGTTGACAGTTACAGTTAACTCCATCAACATCGTATCCAGGATTGTGTGATTACTGTATGTTTGTGAGAGTGTTTTCTGTTCAGTGTGACTTCGCTGTGACTTCTCACCCTCTATTAGAGCTGGAAAAGGATACATGAGGGAAAAGAGACAGCAGCTTTTGATTATGGTCTTGTTCCACAGGGGCACCACCCAGACCTGTGACAGAAATAGCATAAAAAATGTATGTTTTCATTTTTATAGGGCTCCAAGCCAGTGGCCCTCATCAATCACAGACTCATGCTATCGTGTCATGAACTTAATTGTTCTTTCCATATGCAGCGCTCAGGAAGTCCCTGCCCCCTGTTAAAGTTAGGATTTATAACCACACACAGGAGGAGTCGTTTTGCCTTGTTATAGCAATGAGTAAAAATAGACGGTACAAAAAAAATACTGCATATTTGAAATTTCAACTCCAAGTTCCACTTTCTTCTTCACTGTTCTGTAGCAAGAGAAACGTAAGACATTGTACATCTATACAGTTAAGGCAGCTCACATTGATCCACGGAGAAAAAAGCAACATGTGACTGACTTAATGTCAAAGCATGTGTTGAAAGTGCTATAGTATTTCCCTCCCTGAACCATGCTCAAAGACTCTTTTTTCCAACTAGTGACAGAAATAGTTGTTGAGAAAATAATGCCTGGAAGAATTATAAATCTGATAAGATTTGTTGGATATTTTCGTCTGTTTTTAGTTGGGAACACCATGTTGCTGCACCCCACTGTGCTGTCAAAGAGCAGATATATTCTGGCTGAAACAAAAAGGAAATGTTCCATCTAGCTATTATAAGAAAACTAATCTGATAAGGATCAACACCCACAGGCACACGCACATTTTCCCTTTTTCATAGAGGGTGTTAGCTCAACCACTGGGGTGAGAAGTGTGTGGAGGGGTCGCTGTCAGATCCTGTGTACGCTCCTGTATGCTGTGTATCCCGTGTACACATATATTTTGCATATACTGTTATTAGAACGATATCACACGTGTTCGACTTCAGCTATGTGATTGTCTTTCCCATGTTTCTGTATCTGCTGAAGCTGCTCCTAAAAGGCATTGCTCTGCTGGTCAAATTGTTAAATGTATTCATTAACTGATAGTCTAGTGTTACTTCTCAGGAAAGTG